GTTATTGAACGATTCTTTGTGAAGTCAACGAATGTTGTAGGATTTGGTAAAGTAGCAAAGTCGCGTTTTAGTTTTTTTAAGTTGCTGTTGGGTTTTTCGCCTGTAAGCATCCCTTCATGATATGAAAACTTTCCTCTTAAGCCATTGGCTCACGGAAGCAAACTATTTACCGTTTACGTTTACTTCCCCACCCCCCTTGGGCACGGATGACAGTTAATGTCCGTGGTTTGCCCACGAGGATGTTGAAGCTTGGAATTGATCGTTGCATAACCAGCTTAATAACTCACGTGGGATGTTGGAATAGCTCGAAAAGTTTGTAAATCACAAGCCGGAGGCAATTGCAAGTGATCATTAACAAACTTCAAACCTCCCGCGTGGAGTGGATGATTACGTCGGTAAACCGATACAAACGGCGGTCTATTTCTTTTATGAATTAAACTTTACAAAAAACACAATCTGTTTCAATATTTTAGGGGTTTACCCGAGGGAAGATAACTATCTTGGTTTACCTGTGCAATCGACGATAGGATTTTAACCAATCAGAGCGCTCGCACCAGCAGTATCCCAGATATCTTATAAAGTTGAATCAACGTGTATCCATATACAGCCAATAAAATAACCATCACTGCCTTAAAAGGTTTCCTTACAAACTACAAAGTATAGTACAGTAGTAATAGATCGTTAATTAGACTAAAAAATGTTCGAATAATATACAGAAAGATTAAAAGCATCGGCGAAAACACAAAATGGCGGTTGGCGACTGAGTTAGACTAAACTCAAGACCAACCCAATGCACTTTTTTCCTGCCGTTTGCATTACGATAAATAACAGTCACATCGAAAGAAAGTAGATTGAAGATCAGCTCCATAATTTTTTTTGACTCCAAAAAATTCATTTACCAACCTAAAATTTAAGGCAAAGTTGAAAAACATACTTTAATCAAACGTTTCATTTAACTGCCCTACTACTACTCTGCCCAAAATTTTGTTTCTATCACTCCTTGATGACCGCCATCTTCAGTAAACGCGATGAACAGTATCTATTCACTGATTTCCGATATAATTTTTGGTACATACTATGATAGTAGTTCGACAAAATACTGACCTTTTGATGAATTAATTCCTTGTACCCGAAAATTTCGCTCCTCTGCAGGTCAACCAACGTTTTAATATTGCCCCCCTGCAATTTTTAGGGGGCTTTGGGAGCTCTGCTCCAGGAATATCTTGTTCAGTAAGCGTTATTGTGTCACCAACGCTTTCCTTCTTCGCCGCCATCTTGAAACGCGTCCCCCTAAAGTCGCCCCAGCGTGTCTTGCGCCTACTGACTCGACCCATTCCCCCGATCAACGTAAAAATGGCGAATAAAGGGGAAACAGCGAACATTTCGAAGTTGATACGAAAGTCTTCTATTTCTGAAATTGTCGACGTGTTGCAACGTCAAGGGGTTATCAAATTTGATAACGATTCCGGACTGGTAATTACGAAAATGAAAATATCAGCAATACGAGTAAACTTGATTGCCCTTAAAGCGGGGAAGAATAATGCTATTTTTTAGTTTTACTACGCTTATCATGGTAAATAGAATCTATTTGTCAAGGAGACGGCAAGTGATCTCTAGTCTGCTTAGCAAGTTCTCACTCGAGCGATTGAGGAAATATGGGGGAGGGGATAGAAAGATGGAAAAGGGCTTTTTCTTTCAGAACCCTTACCTCCCCTCCCCCGTTCTTTGCAAGTTCCAGCTAAGGTCATACATGGATTGAAAGAGTTTACTGCACCAAAATATATCCTATGGCTTTGATATTTCTGTCACCATTATCTGGGAAATATGATGCTGCGTTTCCACACGTATTGGAGTCATCGGGATTTCCTCCACCTCCAAACCCAATTCTGGAATCACAAGTGTCACAGTTGTTTTGACCGTCGTTAGCGATATAACCGATTCTTGCTCTTGAAAGATCACTTGCGTCACCCACAGCATTGAAGCCCTCCATGTTACAATTCAATTGCAAAGAACCCTCCGCGCCAATCAATTTCTTCCACTCGTTTCGACCCAATGAAGTAGCGCGGTAGGTTCCGTCAGCAATCAGTGAGTGCAGAGAGTTTGCCTCCCTGTTAAAGGCAATAAACCTGAGCTGTCCACTGATCTTCATACCGAGACAGATCTTGGAGAAAGGTGTGTTCCAATAGGTCGGTAACTTGGTCTCTTCTGAATCGAACCCAGTCCTTCCGCCGGGGACGTTGTATTCGTTTTTATCACTCCAGTAGTGAGCGTCATAGTGAAACGTTGCCTGTATCGAATTAAGAGAATATAATTAATTTTTTTCATGTATTTATAATTTATTCATAATTTACTTAAACAATAGCACGATGCATCACTGAAGGCACGAACCTCATGAAATAAGTACCACTGTTAGCGTAAGAGCCATCAATCTATATCTTACTCGCAGGCGAGTTAACTAGCAATTTGTCGCGTTTTGAGTTATCAGGGTCTGACAGCCCTTATGCCAGCGGAATTTCCGTTAGTAAGGACTGCGAAAAGAATATGGAGGAGTTTATAAGAAATTCTTTCGATGTTTTGGGCTCGCGCTTCATCATCCACAAGAAAACCCTGCCAAGAATATTCCGCCATCCGCCCTATGAGGCATACCTTGGTGCCGTCAGTCTTCATTACAGGCGTCCATCCCCCATCTCCGCATCCAAAATCCCCCATTTGACAGAGAATTGTGGTCGGCTTAGAATCAAGGTCTAATGTAACCAGTTGACTAACGTTTGACCTGTTTGATACGAAAAGAAATCCATTCGTGATCACTAAAGTTTGCAGCGAAAAATCTTCCCTCGACATGGAAACTATTCGATAACGTATCTTTTGATATGCTCGAAAAGATAATTTTATGGCATCACTTACTTGAACAGGTAGTGAGCCTCTTTGCAGGACCCAATAACTAAATGTAACGGGAAAAACCAAAGTTAGGTTTGAAAGTTTAGGCTCTATCTCAGTTCAGTAGGGCACACAAAGCTACAGTTGTTGTACGTTCAATATAATGTTTAGTATCAACCTATTAGTAGAGTCTCTGAGTAATGAGAGGTGATGAATATTGTTTAGGGATCGATTCTTATCCAATGCCGAGGGGGGTCGGAACATTTTGCTTGTGTCACAATAAAATGAACTTGATCCTCTCATAAAAGCTCTATGATTTGACCCCCCTATATAATGATCCCCCGCCCCTTAATTGGCAATGAGTCTCATCAGATCGACCCTCGTCAGTTTGCTCGTGCAGGACATTCCACTACTGACGCGTTAGTCTATTTGCTGCAGGCTGTGTATGAGGCAGTGGATACAGGGAGTTGTGGTGCTAGGCTTTTCTTTACTGACTACTCTGAAGGTTTTGACATGATTGATCACAGTGTGCTGATTGAGGAGATAAGGAACATGCATGTGCACCCTGTTCTAGTTAACTGGATAATTGCTTTTCTGTTTAACAGGACTCGGGCTGTGAGGTTGACGACATTATATCGGAGTGGAAAACTCCCAAGGGCGGTATACCACAGGGCACTCACTAAGTTAGGAGTCATTTTGTTTACAATCGTGACAAATAATTTATTGCGCTCGTGGAATCTTAGAATAAAGATTGTTGATGAACCCACAGCCCATGGAATAATCCCCAAGAACAGTGCCAGTCTACTCAATTTTGTTACAAACGATATCTATGCTTTTTCTGAAGATCACAGAATGAAATTGAACCCTACTAAATGCAAGGAAATGCTAATTAATTTTATGAGTAATCATAATTTTATTGTGAATCCTATTGTAATTGGTAGTAACACAGTTGAGAGAGACACGACATATGAGTTACTTGGCGTTTATGTAAGTAATGACCTGAAATGGAACCATCATGTAGATGTTATAGTGCAAAAGGGAAACAGGAGGCTTTACTCCTTAAGGGTCCTTAAGAAATGTGGTGCACCTCCAGCTTCACTGGCTAAGGTTTATAAAACCATTGTTCATCCTGTTCTAGAATATGCGGCCCCTTTCTGGTAAAATATACCAGATTTTCTATCTGATAAGATTGAGAGCATTCAGAAAAGGTCTATGCGCATCAATTTTCCATTAATGAATTACAACGAGGCATTAAATGTCCTTAATTTAACAACTCCAAGTGACATACGCGCCCATCTATGCCAGGTTTATATTGATAGACTCCGGAATGAGATTCACCCCTTGCATTTTATCCTCTCCAAACAGGAGGAGGTTGTGCATAATTATAATCTTAGATCCGGCATTAGCCGCTTCACGCGTCCTTCGTGTAGGACCAAGCGCACGTATGATTTTGTCACGCATAAGTATACCCAGTGGCTTGTACAATCATGCTATCTGGTATTTATTGGTTTTATTGTATTATATTTAAGTGTTATATGTTTTGTAAATAGCTCTGTACTTCAGCCATTCTGTATATTGCTGCAATGAGTCTTAATAAACAGTCAATTTAATGAATCAATTTTTTATTGTCCTCCCCCCCGCCTTTCAACTCTTATCCTTCAATTAAACCCTATCCGGGACCACTTTCTGTCACAAAACCATGCAAATATAACTCACCTCTTTCACAATATTCTCCTTTAAAGCCTTTTACACAGAGGCATTCAAATGACCCATCTCTGTCGTTTGTTACACAGGTAGCTTCGTTTTGACAAGGTGACGAAGAACAAGGTGACTATGGAGAGACAAAGTAGGAAAATGTTTCCTGTATTTTGAAACGCAGCTGCAAATCTATGGACATATAGTGAACAGAAGGTACATGAATCCATTTTAGTATACTGACGAGCCTTAGAAACAAAGGTGGTTAATTATAAGTGAGATATTTCATGGTATATCACTGTAAAGCGTATGAGTTTACAACAAATTTCTTCTACCTCAATTGCGAAATGATGCGAACTTTTATTCTCTTTATACTCTGTGGAGTTTCTGTATTTATCAGATGACAGCAGCTCGCACCAAAGTTTACCATGAGCTCCTTTGGAGACAGCCAGGTTTACAGAAAAACACAACGGATTGCTGAGACATTCAAACGTGCAGTCAAATACATCATACACTGTCACTGTTCCAACGAGCGGCACATTCAAGTCATGAAACTCGTTTTTGTTAAATCTATATCGTCTGAAAACTTTTGAAGTACAAGGTGAAACCTTGCGATACAAAAATCTTGATTCTATAACAAGAGACAAGAACAAAAATAGAAAAGTTAACGGCATATTCAAGTGATGAAACTCGTGTTTAATGAATGCACGTCTCAGAAAAGTTTTTGAGGAGCAGGGGATGTCCTCGTGATACAGAACGTTCGATTCAATAACAGGAAAGAAGAACAGTGCAGTAATAAAAGGATGTGATGGTACCATTCACATTTCATACTTTTCTGGAGGAGAATCCAGGGGGGGACGGAGGGAGGGGTGGGAGAAGAGAGGACGAGAGGATGAAGTACCCCATAGAACAGTACCCCCATACAATTCAAAGGAATTGGTCGAGTGGGCTAAATTCGGGGGAAATTATGCAATATAAAAAGGGATAACGGATAAAAAATTCAGGATGTTGAAAAAAGAAAGTCATTTTGTTGAACACATAAAATGATCGAATCACTAGATAGATTTTTCTCAGCCAGAATTATAGACATCTGCATTTTAATTAAGTCAATGGTTGTTTTGGAACCTGTTTAACTTTAATTTGAATCATCTTCAGTTATCAATATCTACCGTGTCATTTACAATGAATAAACGCGAATTTTTACTGACTTCATCGGGGTAGCATTTCAAGCGAAATTTCACAAATTAAGTCGTAAACCTTTCTAGCTCTTCAGGGCTGCAATGTTTTTATTCGTTTCTGTTCCTCAGGATTAATCATTTAAGTATAAGATACTGCTGTCAAACGTTCTTTTGAAAAAGGAAGAACATCCATCAATTATCTGCGAACTCAATTTAAGAAGTCGTTGATAAAAATATTTTGAGTCAACGCGTGACACGATCGAAAGCTTGTTGTTTCCTTACTCGGAACTGGTTAGCTCAGACAACCAAAACAGACCCTATAATATTATCCAAACTTTAATAATAATTCGTTCTAAGAAAAATACATTTGTAATTCGAAATAAAAAAAACGCAAATAAAGTGTTAATCTCGCAGCAAAATTCAAGAAAAACGTGATTGGAAACTTACTTCTGTGGCGGGTCGTAAAAACAGGTTTCTCTCCTCAGGTTAGCAGATTTGGGTAAGCGAACAGATTATAAAAACCGACTTCTCTCTCTTATTGATTCTTCTGAAAACTGGTTTAAAACATGATGAGCTAACACTTTCAAATCACTGTACGGAATTAATGTCAACCACGAGTCTTGTAATTAAAATATGTGTCATCAAAGGCAACGCCTATTTAATAAACGGAACACTTGTCGTTAATCTTCGCAATTTTAACCAAGTTTAAGGAAGTATAACGGTTCCTTTGACGACACTTAGAATTTAAATTGAAGTTGAATAAAAGCTCCGTGAGTCATGGTCTTCAAGAAGCTTAGAAGTCTTAGTTAACATTTTTCAAAGCAGAGAGCCGGAGTGTTATTTGCATTCAACCGAGCTGAAGTACTAACTGGACGTTAGAACGCAATAGATCCAGATCTACTTCAAAAATGCAACTGACATGAATGAAATTTTTACAACAGGAGATATATAAGAGAGGAAGTCCAGTAAACTTTGAGAGTGTGCCGATCTAACAGCGACCTAAGTCTTTGGAGAGCATTAAATACCCATCACCACCAGCCAAGTGAAAATAAAACAAAAAATATGATGGAAGTCAGGGAACATTGAACTTACATCCAGATTCTGGGTTGACAAAATGTTCTGACACCAAAAACAATAACATGAGATGCAAAGGAATCTGACAAACCTTGTGAAAGGGCAGGATCTGGAATTAGAGCAGATAATTCAAATAGAATGGGATAAAGAAGACCAAGAAACATGTTGGATGGAGATCTCGTCGCTGCTTTGGGATTCTTAGCCTTGCCTCTGATGCGACCTGTGAGCGACTGAAATGTTGACAACAACCAATGGAATTTGAGTGATCAGTCCAGCTGCTCCCACTTTGCTGACGTGCGAACTAGTACTTTCCTTTGTTTTGCAACAATGCACGTCTCGGTGCGTGCTGTAGTTGTCATGGATGAGTTTCATAAGACCGGAAGGGAAAACGAGTTGAAAATCAGGTTTGAAGTAAATTCTCGATCGGAGCTTTAGCTGTGAGGTTTTAGCGTTAAAGCAAACATAATCGTGCATTTCCTATCTTCCTTCCTTTTCTTCGTTTACTTACTTGGCAATTTATCGATGCTATGAATTAGATCATTCTGGCCATCATTGGGAGTGCTCAGAAAGTGTTACTAAGAATAAAAAAGGAAGTGTTACTTGATAAAAGTTCCTGTCGAACCACAGGTGGCCCAAGCACCAGCTGTGAGATGATCATCTTGCGCAATAACAAATGAATAAAGAGTAAAAGTTTGTAAAGAAACTGTGGTGCTGCGTCGGTGGGGGTGACAAGGTAATTTGATTATATCAACAAGTTGAAATTGTAAATTGGTCACTGTAACTAGTTAAAAAGCTGACGTTTCGAGCGTTAGCCCTTTGTCAGAGCGAATCATTTGCTCTGAAAAAGGGCTAATAAAAAAATACGTCAAATTCTCAATACAAATTCATCACCTTACTTCCTTAATTAGAGCGGTTGTAAATATTTCCATACAAACT